TATATGTCGTTGAGGACAATAGCGCAGTTCATACTTCTGCTGTCGTCAGAGAGTGGTATGCTGCTCACCCCAACATTGTTAGACTACTTCACCCACCAAAGTCGCCTGATTTGAATTGCATCGAAAATGTGTGGTCTGCAATGGTAAAAGGATGGCGCCCCCAACGTGCACTCAATGATCAGCAGTTAACTAACAGAATTACAGATGCTTGGTTAAACTTGGCTCTTCGAAAAGAGTACTTCCTTGCATTGACTAATTCTATGAATAATAGATTGCAAGCCATTATACATGTTCAAGGAAGTTACACTAAATACTAAATTATATAAAGCTAAATTAAGTAAGGCCTAGCACATAACATTGCCAGGCAATCAAAATTGTGCTATTTTTAAAAATAAGTATTAAAAAAAATAAAATTTGTCAAACAAATTAAAGGAAAATTATGGTGTAAAACAATTTTTTATAACACAAATAAAATGAGTAATTTTATTAAAGAAAAAAAAATTTTTCAATTCAATACTATACATACTGAAATAGAATATAAGAGTAACGAGACCCGGCGAAGGCGGCCTTATAGATTCAGGTTCCGGTTTGATTTTATCGACAGTGTATCAAAGTTGGTGATTTTATAAATATAAGTTTGGGAAGAATTAAAAAAATTCTTTTCAAAATAGTAAATCTTCTTAATTAGTATTTAAAATTAGTTAAATTGTACATATAACTACTTCCTGCTTTAAAAGTAGTAAATTTATTGCATGAGTGCTGTCTGTCGAACTTGAAAAGTTTGAGCAAANGTCAAGAGGATAAGTAGTTAACTGTCAACAAAATGCTGAAACTCAAAAGCTAGAGTTAAAAATCTCTATTGCAAAATTCGGAAAATTCGGAAGTATAGATTTTAATTGAAAAATATTGCAGTGCGAAAGTCAAGAGTTTCTTGGACTTCAACGAGCAATCAACCGGCTATAAGTGGATTATTCAGTATAGTCTACAGCTGAACATCGAGAGCCTGTGACTCTTGGTGGTTGAGAGATGGTCCAAATATTTTTTTGTAGTCAAAACATGCTTCGAGCGTACTACGATTGCAGAATGCTCTTAGTTTTTGTTTAGGGTTGAAAAATGTTCCAAGAGTTATATTTTGTATTGTTGGAAAATGCTAAGCATATTTTTTGATGTCTGAGGGATAATATTTCTTATATCTGTGAACTCCTTTAAACCCTTTGTCATCATAAATAATAATGAAGTCTTAAACTTAGTATTTATCGTATGAAGAATATTCCTCTTAAGGTGGTTACTGATAGTATTTAACTTCTAATGCAAGAATTAAAAGCGAGAGTGCAAAATCTGGATACTTAAAATAAAATTTTGACAGTGGTGGTTGTTGCTGTTGGCTTGGATTCAAAGTGAAATTTGTGAAAAAAATGACATAAAATATACTACTTAACAGCCAGTGGTCCCTCGTGCCAGTATCTAACTAAATTTTGTAGTAGTTATTAAATACTTTTTCCTTCGTTCTACAGATGATTTTAACATCAAGTTGCTTTGTTTTATATCTGTATCAAATTCTGCCAGGTTCGATGTAATCTCACCCTAAACGTATATCACATTCGACGTACACGATTGTATATAAATGACACGTACTTGCACTACAAAGTTTCACTTTTGAAAATGATGATTGAATTATTTCTGCTTTAAATTAAAATTTTACCTTGCTTTTCATGATTTATAAACAAAGGAAAACATAAACAAAGCAGTTACACTGGTAAAATAATCATCATATTTCAAAATAATATACATTTACTTGCTTATTCAATTTCACATGTCAACTTGATTATGATGTAATAAAAGAATCCACAGCATTACTTTTCATTTGTTTTTTTCTGTAACTTTCTTTGAATACTTTTTTAGAACGAAGTTCTTTATGTCGCGTTACTCGGGGGGCTGGAATTTTAAAACCGACAGATTTTTTTTTTTAAATCAGAAATCTCATCCTCTTAAGTTTCTCCCCTTACCCCGTTCCCCTTACCTACTATTCTCTACACACTTCCCCTCCCCCCACTATACATGTATATCTGCCAACCATGCCGTGTTACTCTTCTGCACACCTTTGCCCGTCATCATTTATTCTTGAAATAATATCCCTGAACCACAATGTATTTTATTTTGGATCTTATTGTACTGGTTGCGCAATCTGTTATAAATAATTTTTGCGTCACCTGGGTTCACTGAAACAAATAATTTTTTATTTATTTTTTTTTTTTTTTTTTTTTAAAGAATCACACAGATTAAAAGGTTTTGATTTTAAACACGAAGCTACTTAATACATAACGTAATCTGACGCAAGTGCAATCAAACGTAGTTTTTTTGTGGAAGCTTGAGTAATATTAGTTGTTGTCACGTAGTCATAAGCNAGAATCATATGATTGAATAAATATAAGAGAATTAAAAATAAATTGATTGTACTTATTTAAGCAAACCTTCCCCTCCACGTAAGATTGCGAGTTCCTTTTATAGTTTAAGATAAAAACTAGAAAAATAGCTGTTAAGATTTGAAATCGTTTATTTAAACTAAGAATATTATCTGTACCCCAAAAAGGGACAGGAATAAATTAAAAAAGATATTAGATTAGAAAAATATTGAATAATTGATTGTACTTATTTAAGCAAACCATCCCCTCCACGTAAGATTGCGAGTTCCTTTTATAGTTTAAGATAAAAACTAGAAAAATAGCTGTTAAGATTTGTAATCGTTTATTTAAACTAAGAATATTATCTGTACCCCAAAAAGGGCCAGGAATCAATTAAAAAAGATATTAGATTAGAAAAATATTGAATAAGTTAAAAAAGATATTAAATTATTAAACTGATTAAATTAAGGGAATATTCAGGAGAATTCAATAAAATAATAATCAATAAACAATTGCTGTATATGGTGCAGGAATTAATTGATTATTCAACAGATAAATTTTGAAACTTAATAATTATTTTAAACATTGTATGTAATCGGCAATCTAAGCAATTTTGCTCTTTTACACAGGGCAACGAACCCGCCCTCCGACATATAAAAACTATCATTGTTTGTGTGTTGGTTCCTAATCTTAGAGTTTCCTTGGTACAAATAATATTCTTAGCCGATTTTTACCACCACTAATTAACCGGAGTTATACTCAAAGAAAGGGAAGTCGTAGTACTTTGAAGAACTATTAAAAAATATATGTATTTTTTTAGCATTCACTATTCAATTATGTGTACGTTTTTTTTTGGTCAATCGGTTGGTCTAATTCCTCAAAAAAGTATATCTATATTCATTATGTACATAAATATATATGCTGAAAAAATGAGAACGACCGAAAGATCGATCACGAAAAAAAGGTCCCCATTATTAAGCACTTTCGATTATCCATTGTTCGTTCATTCGCACTCCGTTAGGACAGTGTATAGGAACAATGCTTATAAGGAACATACGGTTAACCGAGCGATTCATTTTTCCCTACGTTGACCAAATCAACTTATTGAACAAACTTTTTTATGCGCGATGACGACAAATCGTATACATCACTCGGCCGCCTCGGGCAACACACTCCACGCAGCCGTACATCCGCCATTTTACAGCCTCGTGATGTAATGTATACCATTATAAAGAGTCCTATGAACAACGTTAGTTGGTTATATAGTGATAAGAATTATCTTGTGAGGAGCGTGAAGTGGCAGAGGGATTGATGAACAGTTACAGTATAATTTGGACGATATTGTATTAAACGTTATTTAGATTGAATATATTAGAGACTACGTCAAACATAAATCATTAGTAATTCGTTTTAGAAATTTTGTCAGACAACATGGTTTGTAATTTTGCGAGATGACTCAGTTAATATTTTAGTGGAATTCCTGCAAATTTCGTGTATATTTAAAATATTTTGATTTTGTGATGAGCCTCCAAAAGTAGACTTCGTTTCCGCTCTTTACACGTTTATAAAGAGTTAAAATTTTGGAACTTAAAGATGTTTTCCGTAAAGGGCCCCGTTTAAATCGATAGGATTTGAGATCCCAATCAATTTTGCTTGAATTTTGATATGTTGTAGATAAGAATCTTCATAACAAAATTTATTTTAAGTACAAGTATTGATAATGGATGGATTTCAAGACAATAATGGTTAAATCCCATTTCTTATCAAGGTTAGTTTGACAGGCGCCACAGTAGAGTGAGGTCGAGATTATATGGAGACTGGCAGTTTGCAGACTGGCAGACTCGCTTCCAGTACACTCCACTAGAGTGAAAGAGAGAGAGAGAGAGAGAGAGAGATCTGATCATGTGACCAAGAGAGTTGTATGTGGTTACGAGGTTGGATCTCTCCTTTACTCTAGTGGGCTATAATGGAAGAGAATCTGCCAGTTTCCAAACTGCCAGGTTCGATGTAATCTCACCCTAAACGTATATCACATTCGACGTACACGATTGTATATAAATGACACGTACTTGCACTACACATGTGATAATAGCAGCCACCAACATACACAACATCAGACATTAAAGTAATCTCAAAGCGGGTCTTAAAATAAGTCTACAAACTAATTTTAAAACAGATCTCGATTCAAATTTTAAACTGGTCTTGAAAATAGTCTTACAACAATACTTTAAAATAATTTTAAATCCGACCCCAAAACAAACATTGAAACTGATTTTAAAGCAGACCTCAAAAATAATTTCAAAACTGGTCTTGAAAGTAGTCATTACAATGAATCTCAAATTATTAAGAGGACCAAAATTAACGGAATGAAGTTGGTGCGATTTTTTGCTTGTTTCAACGTACAAAAAAGATTTCTTTATCGTAAAAATAAATATCTTTTCATTTTCCGTTGTAAGCTATCATTAATCGAAGCAAGTTAATGTAAAAGTGATTTGCAGAACTAGGGGCCTACATAAGTTACGTCAAGTCCATGAGTTTTTTTGCTTGTTGTAAAACTTAAAAAGAATTTTCTGAGTACTTACAAAAAAAGTTATCCACTTATTTCCTGTTGGATACTTGGATCTTGTTCCATACAGACTGTTTCTTAATAGTCAAGAAATACTCTAGAGGTTTCTCAATCGTCAAGAGATACTGGAAGTACTTATCAAAGTCAACATAGACTTTGATAGTTTCATGATTGTCAAGGAATATTCGGAGATGCCCTTGATCATTGAGAACAATTTTTGAAAGGTTTCTAGGTCGTCAAAAAGTATTGAAAAAGTTTCTTAATCATTAAAAAATATTCGACGGGTTTCTTATTGTCAAGAAATACTCTCACGGTTTCTCGATCATCGAGAAAAATTTTAAGGGCTTATCGATCGTTAAAAAATATTAAGGGGCTTTCTCGATTGTTCATATACACTCGGAGGGTTCCTCGATCATCAAGGAATACTTTGATGGTCCCTCAATCATCGAAGTAGACTTTGATTGTCTATTAATCGTTAAATATTACTTACAGTAATTATTAACATTCCAAAAAAATTAAGAGGGTCAATCGTCACGGAAAATATTGCAGGTTTCTTAAATGTTGAGAAGCACTTAGAGTGCTTATCAATGGTAAACCTGCATTTGGAGAGTTTCTCGATTGTAAAGATATCCTCAGAGAATTTCTCGGTTGTAGAAAATTATTTGGAGGGTTTCTCGATGACTAAAAAGTACTTGGTGGGATCCTCGATCCTCGAGAAATACTCTGAGGGTTTTCCGATCATCAGGGAATACTCTGATATTTTCTAAATCATTAAATAATACTGAGAGTGCTTATCGATGTTCCAAAAACATTGGGAAGGTTTTTCAATTGCTAATAAGTAATTTCGATAATTTTTCAATCGGCGAGGGATACTCGGAGTGCTTATTGATCGTTGAAAAATATTTTGACGGTTTCTTGATTATTGAAAAAGTATTTGAAAGGTTCCTGGAAAATAGAAAAATACTCGGAGGATTCTTTGATCGCTTCAAAATATTCAGAGAGTTTCTCGATAGTCAAAAAGTTCTCGGAGGGTTCCTCGATCAGTAAGATAAATTCTGAAGGTTTCGTAACGCTGTTTCTACTCTTGAAAGTAAAAAGGCACCGACGCAGCGTTGATAAATATCGTTTTCGTACGTCACCTTTGTACCTCGTGTATCTTGGGTTTCTTTTCCTAAAAAAGGAGGATTCGTGCAGGAATTCTCCCGTTTTACGAAAAGAAGTAATAACTAAACACAAGAACATACCTTCAACTATTTGTTTACTCAATGACTTAACACTAATGCACGTCTAAAGCTGGGGATCGAAAGTAGAAGTTTGAAAGCCTAGGATTGAGATCAGGTATTCAACGCTGTATTTTAAATTTAAAAGTTTAAACCAGGGGGTTTTCTAACAATAATTAAAAGTAGAAGGTATAACGCTATAAACCATTATAAGTTGTAAGCTATCATTAAAAAGCTGTAGATTCAAAGCTAGAGATCGAATTTTTGTGGTTAAAAGCCTGAGATTTGTAGCCAGTGGTCAAGAGGATAAGTAGTTAACTGTCAACAAAATGCTGAAACTCAAAAGCTAGAGTTAAAAATCTCTATTGCAAAATTCGGAAAATTCGGAAGTATAGATTTTAATTGAAAAATATTGCAGTGCGAAAGTCAAGAGTTTCTTGGACTTCAACGAGCAATCAACCGGCTATAAGTGGATTATTCAGTATAGTCTACAGCTGAACATCGAGAGCCTGTGACTCTTGGTGGTTGAGAGATGGTCCAAATATTTTTTTGTAGTCAAAACATGCTTCGAGCGTACTACGATTGCAGAATGCTCTTAGTTTTTGTTTAGGGTTGAAAAATGTTCCAAGAGTTATATTTTGTATTGTTGGAAAATGCTAAGCATATTTTTTGATGTCTGAGGGATAATATTTCTTATATCTGTGAACTCCTTTAAACCCTTTGTCATCATAAATAATAATGAAGTCTTAAACTTAGTATTTATCGTATGAAGAATATTCCTCTTAAGGTGGTTACTGATAGTATTTAACTTCTAATGCAAGAATTAAAAGCGAGAGTGCAAAATCTGGATACTTAAAATAAAATTTTGACAGTGGTGGTTGTTGCTGTTGGCTTGGATTCAAAGTGAAATTTGTGAAAAAAATGACATAAAATATACTACTTAACAGCCAGTGGTCCCTCGTGCCAGTATCTAACTAAATTTTGTAGTAGTTATTAAATACTTTTTCCTTCGTTCTACAGATGATTTTAACATCAAGTTGCTTTGTTTTATATCTGTATCAAATTATTAGTAATTTTTTAAAATAATTTAGTATTATTATTTTGACCATCAAACTTTCAAAAAAATTTATGGCCTTTACATAGCCCATGTTGGTTGCCTCATGTTGTAGATGACTAGTACGCTATCCTGCTTTATTATACGAGCATCTAATGTGAAATGATCAGTAATTAATTTTTAATAATTGGGAAACACTTTTTAGACGATTAACTATCACTTTGTCCTGTAAATGACTTTCAAGCTAATTTGCTCTCTTTGATGCCAATATTTAGCAGAGAATAATCAGTTACTTTTGTTTGGTGATTGAGAAATACTTTTCAGACTATAAAATAATTTTAAAACCGAATAAATAACTTTAATAGAGCCTTCTGTGGTAGCTCTCCAAACATTTTTCTATGACACAGGAACCCTGCAAGTAATCATCTACGATCGACTAACCCTCTGAGTTTTTTTTTTACGATAGACAAACCCTTTGAGTATTTTTTAATTATCCAAAAAGTCTAAAAGTTGAAGTAAGTGAGATGATACCGTGGCTCTCGAATTAAATGATGGTTGAAATGAAAGTAGGTGAATACGATGAAGTAGGTAAAAAAGACAAAGAAAAAAAGTAGTAAAAAGAAATGTTCATGAATGTCAGAAAAAATATAATTACATAAAAAGATAGTGAGAACACTCATGAGAGTAAGAAGTGCAAACGAAATATATACTCTGTAGGTAATTTGAGGACAAAAGAGTGCTGAAGAGCATATTAGTTTACAAGTATTTTTTGGTATATTGTTTTGAAGATAATTAATTAATTGATACTTTTACAATTAATACGTAATTAATACTGCATGCAGAAAATTTTTAGATTTCTCTGTACAAACTTTATCTGCTGTATATGATTTTGAAGTTAATGAAATTATGAGATTATTAGTTTGATTTTACTTATTACTTATACTACAAATCGTAAGACTTTTTGGCTCCCCCACCAAGATTTGACACTATATGGGTTTTTTCGGATGAAGGCGTTTTTAGTTATTTGAACGTAGTGCTTTATGCCATAATCCATGAGATTGTTTAGTTCTTTTTGAGGATTTCATATCACAAGCTAGGAGATTGTTTAGTTCTCTCGGTGCGATTTCCTTAATGAATAGATTTTTTCAAGTTGACAGGTTATAGAGTATGAGATGATTAGGTATAGTTAGGTTATGGGGAAATTGAGCTAAGGTGCTGAAAGAGAGACATAAAGGTTGTGTTAACTTCCATCATTTAATTTTTTTACATGTACTTTTGGAGCTTAAAAAAAATTGTGAGTCATGTTTAAAGAAAAATACAATAAAGTCGAGTGGCTTAAACATCTAGATGAAATGGTTGAAATGGTCAATGTTAAGAATTCAAGTCCTATTCTATTTATGTAGGAAATCATTTTGATATGTATGTTGGCACGTGCTATTACCAAAATTTTTGGATTTTCAGAGTATAAATTTTAGAGTTGCGGGAGATTTCAAGGAGTTCCATGACGGTAAATCAAAATCGGGAAATAACGGACACCTTTATACAGATGAAAAGAATGGATTGATAAGAATTCATGTGGTAATATCAAATTTTTTTTTTTTTTGTTATAGACACCTTCACTAGACACATAAAAAACAGCGTGTGAATAAATTTTGGAAAAGCCATACTCATAGTGACACGAAAAAAGCTGGTATTTATATTTTGTTTAGTAAGATCAAATATTTCAATAATGTTGCTTACAGTAAAACGACTATCGAATCTTGAATAAGGTCAACTGGTTGATGTTAGTCTTAGATCATGAATTTTGAAATATTTGGCAATAAAGTGAAATATTAGACATTGACCTGTTGCACACATACGGAGTTTATTTTTTATTACTTAAGATGATATCTTACCACAGGCAATATGTGATAAGGTAATGTAACTGTACGATTTTTCGTAGAATTTCTTATATTTATGCGTTAATCGCTTAATACAATGTAAATTTGGTCAGAAAATGAAGAAATTGACTTACCAAAACGGCTGGTAAAGAAAGAAGTAAAAAACCTAGTAACAAAATCTTCACGTTAATGAAGAATAGTTATTACTTTACTTAGCTTAATGCTCAAACTGTTACTAATGTTTCTAGTAAACTGGATGCTCATTGCTTTTGTAGTTGCATAAGATACTTCAAATATGCGATTAAGATAATCTTTAAACTTTCCACTTACGATTGATGAGAAAGAATTAGATATCTAGAGCTAACTATGAATAAGGAAGTAATATTTCACATTGCTAATGATAGCTGTGATTCATTAGTTCCGTAAGAAAGAAACTGATATTAACGGTATCAAATAGTTTTTAGTTGAATTGTTAAAACTGAATGCTGCCGTCAGGAATTGATTATTCTCATTTTAAGTTGTTTGAACTACGTTCGATTAAGGTAGGACCTCCGAGTACCGTACTAGTCAAATTACTGCGCGAGTTCGAGTTTGACTTCGGCAGCAGTGTCAATAATGCAGACGACGTGTGTACCCGCATCAGTGCGTAAACACGTACGTCTTCTAATGTGACAGAGTAGTTATTTTTTATTAGTAATTTTACTGTTCGTTATTTTTGTCAGTAAAGTATTTTTGAAATAATGAATGAACATCAAAAAGATTCTGCAAACAAACTATCCTGGCACTCGTTACGTCAAATTCTCATCGATGCCTATGATAAGGATATACAATGTGGAATCAAAATTTTACTATCAACGAGCATTAACCGTAAAGTACGAGTAACGTCTTCCCTTGATATTGTTAATATTATAAATAATAAAATAAAAAATGTAATTACTAGTTTGTAACATTTACTCATTCATTATAATTTAACAAACATTAATGTGATTAAAAGCTGTGTTCATGAGATTGTACAAAAAAAATTTTGTTAAATAAAATTTAGTTATAGTATTAATTTATTACTGATATTCATTATTTATTATCAATTTTTTACTAATGTTCATTCATATTTATTATTCATTAACCGATATTTTATGTTTCGCGCACAAACAACAAAAAAAAAATTGACACCACAAGCATTTTCGTTACTACTCGCTTTTAAAAAACCGCGCGCTAACATATACCAATACAGCAGCTTCCCCAACTTCCTCTCGTAATCGCAAAACCAGTATTTACGTTCGTTTTTATTAAATATCTCGAGAAATTGACCGTCAACTTATATTGTGCTCAACACGATCCGAAAGAAGAGGATTTTCTCTACAAGTTCCATATACTCACTTTACTCAGATTTTTATTTTTTATTCGTAATATGTGATTACGTCACTTTTTTCTCGTTTTTTTGCATACGTCTGTATAAAACATTCGAACTTTGAGCTTTAATATCTCGAGATTTTGTCCGTCATCGGGCATAACTGAAGGTACCATTGGATTCAGCGGGTCTTCATCTTTTTAATTACATAAGTCTTGTATCCCAGATTTAGGCGGAGGTCCTACCTTAATTTACTTTGATGTTGACTGGTACATTATTAAACTATTAAACACATCTCCATCGGTGTGCATCACTAAAACAGATTAGATTTTAAATAAACAATTCTGTTTTAATTTATCAGTATCAGCAAATGCTTTAAGTAAAATGAATTAAAAAAACAAACATTTTTTTTAATTTGTCAAGTATTTTGCAACTTTGTTAAAATTTTCAAATAATTTTTTTTTCAATTTCAGACTAAAACTTTCAAATTTTTCAGAAAACTGTGATTTACTAATATGATTTACAAATGAAAATTTTTTTCTACATTTCAGGCATACGAAAAATGAAAAAAATTATTAGTCAGTTTGAATTACTTTGTCTAACCAATAGGACAAACATTTCTTTACACATCCTCTTAGTACTTTTCATTAAAAGCGTTAGAGTATGTTGACAACACAATCCGTGTGTCAGATGAACGAGGGATTACATAAAAGAAAGAGATAGAATTAAATTAATAAAAATGACTTTATTTCAAATGAAACAACTGTGTATAATGGCCGAACGCCAGCGCTTACCTACGCCAATCGCTTTCCAAAAGCTACTGCCCTATCCTACGACGGTTTGCCTCGACTCTCCTCCGCTACCCTTCTTCTTCCCCGCTGCTCTTTCTACGTTTTAAACTAGACGACCTGCGCGCGCCGATTACTGACGTCCGGTTTACATGAAGCTTAAATATATTTGTACATTTCAGCGATATAACTTATAAGTATGAACGAGGCCGCGTGAACCATATTTCGCGACGATCAGCGACCGACAGTGACCGTTCCAGTCTTGACATCCCCTACTCGTCAATCCGTATATTCCGGGGCAGAGTACCTTTCGCCTGAAGAACTACGGTAGATCACATTAACTACCTCTCTGAAAGTTCGATCCACATTTCATTAACTCCCAGGGATCTCATGGTTACAAATTTTGGCAAGAAGGCAAGCGGAGATACAGCTCCGCCCCTGATCGGCACTCCGCCACCGTGAAAGAATTACCGACCTCATACGGTCACTCGAACGGTCCCAATCAGTCGCCCACCTATAGCAAATAAAATACACCAGAACGTCCAGTGGTCACAAACCAGGTTCTTTACATATCGGACCAGACATATGCCTGCATCTCCCACTTCTCACATCAGGACAGCGGCTCTGTCCGCAACACTCCCCACCGTACAAGCAGTCGCACCTGCTTGTACTTTCTCTCGAAATAGTACAATGAGCTTATGCGTCGCGCGAACATACTCGCTTCCATTCGACCGAACCTTTGCTGCACGCACAGTGCCATCCTTACCGGGGTAAATCTCGACAACGGTGCCTTTTCGCCACGTATTTCTTGGCGCTTGTTCATTGATAATCATCACTAAGTCGCCGCATGCGACCGTATCAGTTACATTTTGCCATTTCGGCCGTGCTTGCAAGGTGTGTGCGTATTCATGCAGCCACCGTCGCCAGTATAAGTCTGCAAGGGCACGCGCGTACTCCCAATCCTTACGCGTACATTGATGAGGTAAACTATAGGCGGCCAAATTCACCGAACCGCTCGCTGTTCCTATGAGGAAGTGATTGGGAGTAAGCGCTTCCCCGTCCCCGGGATGCACCGACACGTGCGTAAGAGGGCGCGAGTTCACTACATGTTCCGCTTCGGCGAGCACCGTGCACAGAACTTCCTCGGAAGGCACCTCGTCCTTAAGCGTCGCGTGAAGCGCAACTTTCACCGATCTAACCAATCTTTCCCAGGAGCCGCCCATATGGGGCGCTTCGGGTGGGCTGAAGAACCAGCGTATGCCGTTTTTTGACGCATACTCCTTTTGTCGCTGTCTGTCTAAGCGAGCTACTTCCGTCTGGAGCTCCGTGCACGCGCCGCGGAAGTTGGTCCCGTTGTCGCTATAAATCACCGCTGGACAGCCTCGCCGCGCTGCCATTCGCTGTAACGCCATAATCATCGAGCTTGTGGCTAAACTGCACGCAATTTCCAAGTGCACCGCTCGTGTCGTCAGACACGTGAAAAGGACTCCCCAGCGTTTGACGCGGCTGCGTCCTATCTTTACCAACATGGGACCAAAATAATCCACCCCACAGTGCGTGAACGGGCGCTGCCGATACGCCAGCCTTCCTTCAGGCAAAGCAGCCATTAGTGGCGGCTGTGGACGACCACGTCGCATCTTGCAAATCAAACACTGGTTGCAGACAGCTCTCAGCGCGGGCCTTGCTCCGAAGACGACGTACCGTTGCAACAGCTCGTTCACGACTGTTTCGTGATAACCATGTTGCCAGCGGTAATACAGCTTCCGCACGATAGCCCTAACGGTATTGTGTTTTCCATCCAACACTATCGGAGTATGATTAAACTCGGCGCCCGCCACGCAAGTCACACGACCCTTGATTCTAATCAAACCACGGTCATCTAAGAACGGCAAAAATGGGATTAATTTACTCCCAGCTGAAATCTTTTGTCCCTTTGCAAGCGCATGACGTTCCCGTGCGAAACTATCCCCTTGTGCTGCTCGTAGGACGTACTCCTCGTCTAACTGTCGCGCTAGATCTTGATCTTTCGTCTGAGCTTGCTGCAATAGCTCTTGTCCTTTGCTTCGCGCTACGCGCGCTGCCTTTACTTGTTTCCAACGCATGTACGCCCTACGTACTCTTTGCGCCGCGAGTAAATGCCCCTCCCAGCCAAAAACGCGAGCTACAAAAGGCACATAATTCGAACTACCTACCACTAGTGCAACTCTCTCCGGTCGTCGCTCTGCCCCTTCTAATACCTCCCTTTCTTTATGCGTCAATTCTCGTGCGGTCGGCCACTGAGTTTCAGGTAGTACCAAAAAGTTGGGTCCTCGGAACCAGCGCTTCTCTTCGATCTCACTTAACTGCTTCCCGCGCGTGGCTGCATCCACCGGGTTTTCCTTAGTAGGTACCCACTTCCACTTCGCGTTGGCGGTTCTTTCGGAGATTTCGCCTAAACGATGAGCCACGAAAGCCTGTCTAACCCGTGGATCCCTCTGGATCCAGTGCAGCACCGTACGCGAGTCGGACCAGAGGTACGCACAAGAATAGGGAATTTCTATCTCGGAACTCACAGTGTTTAAGAGCCGCGACGCCAGCACTGCGGCCTGCAACTCTAACCTTGGCACTGAATGTGGTTTGTCCGGCGCGACGCGGGACTTTGCCATTAATAATGTAACACTTATGCATCCTCCCGTCGTCTCGCATCGGAGATAAGCACATGCCGCGAAAGCGCGCGTGCTAGCGTCGCAGAACACGTGTATCTGCGCTTCTTTAATATCTCGCCCCTTGGGGGTTATACACCTTGATACGCGCAAAGAGTTTAACTTTTTCACCGTGTCTAGCCACTCACGCCACGCCTCGTCCTCTTCGTCGCGAAGGGGTTCGTCCCATCCGATCCCACTACGCCAGATTGCTTGCAGGATTAATTTTGACCTAGTGGTGTACGGTTCGAGCAGGCCGAGCGGGTCGTACACCGACATCATAAAACGTAGATATTCGCGTTTCGTAGGTCGGACACATCCCTGTAGAATATTTGCAGGAACATGTGTCAGTCCTACGTTTAACCCTGACGTGTCTACTTTCGGGTCCCAGTACATACCGAGTACGCGTTCCGCGGCTTTGTCGCACAATACGATGGCTCGCTCCTGCCGCGCCGACGTTGTTCCCTGCGGCCCTCCTACCCTCATCACCTCGTTGCATGCCCAGCCATGCATTTCAAAATTAGCCTGCCGGTTAATTCCCACTACATCCTCGACAAGCGCTTCTAGTTGTTCTACACTCGGTCTACTCACGAGGAAGTCGTCAACGTCAGAGTTTTTTATAATACTACGCGCCGCCTCTGGCTTGGTTGTCTCGAAGCGCTGCGCGTTTGTGTCTTTCACGAAGTGTGCGCTACACGGAGATGACTTAGCGCCAAACACTAATCGAGTCATTTCGTAAGTGTGAGGGTTCTTATCTCGCGATGCTCCTCTCCACAAAAATCTCAACGCGCTCCTATCCTCGGGTCGAATATACACTCGCATGAACATATCGCGGATGTCTGACTTACACGCGACTGCATATTGCCGAAATCTCAGTAACACTCCGGGAAGCGACTGCAGGAGGTCGGGGCCTGCATCTAACTGGTCATTAAGACTCACGCCTTTTGTGGCGGCTGCGGCGTCAAAAACTATCCGAATTTTGCCGGGCTTAGCTGCGTTTACCACACCAAAGTGGGGAAGATACCACACGCGCGAGGTGGTCGTCTCGTTGTCCACCTCTCGCGCGTAGCCCTGTGCGATGAGTCGCTCCATTTCAGGATAATACAAGCGAGCGTACTCTTGATCGCGGTCTAATCGCCTCTCGATGCTATGCAGTCGCTTCAAGGCCGTAGCGCGACTGTCAAGAGCTGGGGCAGTATTACTCCTCCACAGTAGGCCAGTTTCCCAACCTACATTTACCTGTCGACTGGTCCTTTGTAGCGTCTCCAACGCACGCGCTTGCGCGGGATCGACGCGTTCAACTTCGCGCACTCCCATGCTTTCGATTTTAAAATATTCGCGGACTAAAGCTTCGAGCCCTTCGGTTTGTTCCACGCAGGTGACGCAAGATACATGAGCACTCGTTTCTAGTGCTCGCTCACGCGAGTCCTTGCTATTTACATGTTGGCTCGGCTGCACGTGTCCGTGCGCCACCCACCCTAGCCGCGTCAGTGACAGTGCGATACCTAAATCTTGCATGCAACGAACTTCGCGACTCACTAGCAACTCCCAATTATCCTGCCCAATAAGAATTGATGGAACCACGTTGTCGTACACTTGAATAAATATACCCAGCTCTTTGCTGATTTGACGGACCAACTCGCGTGGTAAAGACTGCGTTGGTAAGTTCACTGATGACACGGCCAAAGCTCCCTTTATTGAATAAATATCTCCCATGCCTTCGATGGAAAAATCTACCCGCTTACACGGCGTGTCCGCGTCGACACTTGCCTTGATGCCCATGATTTTAATCATTTCGTGTCTCCCATTCAGATTTAAACGAGTAGCTAAATTTGCTGATAACATAGTAATTGTGGACCCGTAATCTAAAAATGCATAAGTGTCGATCGATCCACATTTCATTAACTCCCAGGGATCTCATGGTTACAAATTTGGGCGTGAAGGCAAGCGGAGATACAGCTCCGCCCCTGATTGGCACTCCGCCACCGTGAAAGAATTATCGACCTCATACGATCACTCGAACGGTCCCAATCAGTCACCCATCTATAGCAAATAAAATACACCAGAACATCCAGTGGTCACAAACCAAGTTCTTTATATATCGGACCAGACATATGTTTGCATCTCCCACTCCTCACATCAGGACAGCGGCTCTGTCCGCAACAGAGTACGCTGTTAATTTGAAAAAAGTATAAACTTAATTTGAGAACATAAAACAATGACAATTTATTGCAATTTATCAATCATTATGTGTATAGAGAAATCCACAAAAAATATCCCCTTTTTTTCCCTGATTTGAAAAAAAATTTTTTTTTGAGGCACACCCTTGATACCGTGATATTTTACTCGCGATATCTTGCGCTGCTAGAAAAAGGTAAATTCTAAACATAGATTTCAGTAAGGGTGACACCCCTTTTCCGCGGTTTAGTGGTTAAAATTATATCTGTGCAGAGAATATGTATGATTATAAGTTTAACATGTAAATCGTGGAAAAAGGGTGTCATCTTTTCTGAAACACGTATCAAAAATTTTTTCCACGTAGTAGATGACATTAGAGTAAAATGAGCCTGGTTTCAAGGGTGTGCTTCAAAAAAAAAACTTTTTTTTTTATTATAGTGGGAGGCAAAAATGGAAAATTTTTAGTTCATTTCCTTATATATGTATACGTCATTTGTTAATAATTTGTCAAGGTACACATAAAATTTAAATAAAAATATTGGGTGCAAAATTTTTTAATAGTTGATTCGTCAAAATACGTTATGCAGTACAAGGTTATCGTGTTTCAATAGCTGACGATGCTTTTAGATATACGTAGTATAGGCTAATCAATTATCTGATCATGTTTTTGAATTTATATCTTTTAATAATAATGAATGATAAACATTTTTTGAGATGCTAGTCTCTTCCAAATAACATAAGTTTTCTTGCATTTGTTGAAATCTATTGTGGTACTTTTTTATATTTTTTATATTAATGTTTAAGACTTTGTACTTCATTCATGATGGGTATTTACTTTCATTGGAGCTTAAGAAGTTTAAATTTTGAATGATATAAACGTTTTTAAAAAATTCATTTTGAATGTATGTAGCCCTATCCTTTTAAAAGACATTTATATTTTTATTATAAGAAATCCAAAAATCTTGCATTTATACAGACCTTGGAGGGCTATTGATTGGTTCAATAATCAAACACATGCATGATAAATATGTGTCATTCTACCTAGTTAATGCATGTATACTGATATACTAATATCGTAGGAATGTTTTAGGGGCAAGCATCTACTTTGTATAGGTACAATGGAAAATGAATTTAATGATAGTTCATAATCTAGAAATGAATATTAGTTCTAATAGATATGCAAGCAAATATTGATATTTTTATTGCTATATTAGTTGGCATATATAGCATCATATACACACTCGATCTTAAGGTGAAAACTAGCTCAAAATTAGAAAATGATAGTATATATGAGTCTATACGGCGTGCGTGAGTGCACGATTCCTCGATTGTTCGATTGGTAGATGAGAGACTGTCTAGAAAACACGAGGTTGTATGTTCAATCCGCACTCGAGGAACGTATTTTTCTCATTCTTGGTTGTTTCTTGAGAATTTCTTGAATTAGAAAATAATTAAATGTTAATTTTAAATCTTAAGTGTACTTGTTATCGAAAAAAGACATGGATGGGTCTGAGAGTACTTGTTTAAAAATTACCGCCATCTATATGTGTCAATTGATATGATAATGAACATATAAATATTTACTTGCACACCTATTAGTATCAACATTAATATCTAAATATCTTCTTTTTTTATTAAATAAAACATAAACATTAACAAGATTGTTGTTTTATTTTGATTTATTTTACAGCCATTTCTAAGCACTGTGCCCAGTAGGCTCTGCAATGCTGTGATACTATCATTGGCATATTAAAAACTGCCGTGGATTTATTGTGAATCAATCACATACGCAGCAATGGTGGCCGATATTTTACATGGATTCTGAAGCACTGGATGAAATTTAGAAATACGCATATAAGAAATAATTTTTCTAACTATGCGAGCCAAGTAAGTAAGGGTTGGATCTCGAACTCGTGAGCATGGGTTACTAAGCACCCGAGATATAAGAACCACGACTTAAACCACTGTGCTACCGTGTCATGGACACTAATTTTAGTCTCTTCAGACCTATAGCGATCAAGTTGATGCCATGAAGAGAAACAAAAGATAACTTTCTATTTTATTGCAAGAGCCCACCTAGACTTATTAGTAAGGCTGATAACGTGCTCCTGGCTTTTTAATATGATATTCAGACACTTGCAGAGAAGCTTCATAGACGTGGTTAGTCACTTAACCGATAATCAACGAAGGATATAGTAAGAATTAACACGTTTATGGACTAATTGGTCAAATGATAAATCGCTCTTTAAACTAGGATGGAGGCAGAGTTTAAGGTAGCTCTCTTGTCGACTGCTCTAGTCAAGTAGGAGAGTTTCACTTGTGTATGTACACATACATATATATGTACATCAGTGTTGGTATTCTGCTACCATCTGTCATTTATAACCATGAAGCTGATTTTCACGTCTTTCTGGGCATATATCTTTGGAAAATGCCCCATTACATGACAGGATTGAGAAGACCAGATATTTTTCTACAAGTACATTATGATTTGTCTACTCAGGTTTTTTATTGTGAGTTGGAAAATGCCTGCAAAGCTGATGTTTTGATGCTCTGCCATATAAGCTCGTGTCAAAGGTACAACTTTGAGCTGAAATATCTCAAGATTTTGCTGCACTTGGGGTATAAACAAGGACACCGTTGGATGGAGTTGATCAAAATTTATTAAGTGAAACATCTTTTATTCCGTTGGTTTTCATAAGGGAGCTATCTTAAAGAGCTGTCAAAAAAATTGACAAGAGTTAGAAGGGAAAAAGAAAAAATCACGGTTAAAAGTTATCAATGTAAAGTTGTACTTTTATTTTGCAATAAATAGCTATTTACTAATTTTCTAACTCATCTATTACCAACTTAATTTTTTAATTAGTTATAATATAATTAGTATTAAACATTGGCACACAATTAATTTCAGGATACTTATAAATACTTTATGGCACGTGTACTGTACATAATAATTTCGGTGGATGTATACTGCACCTAAAAAAACATCTGGTAATAAAACATTAACGTGCCTTTCAGGCATTGGAAGCTGGGCGTATATTTAGTTTTTGGCACTGTATATAGTCGATAGATGTAGTTGCCGTAGAAACTATTTCTAATTGGAGACATTATTAAGAACATGAGTATCTGCGCCATTTTAACTTGGGGCGCTTCAAAGGACAGCTGACGAAAGGGCATGCAAGGTTCTTTTAGGAAAATATTGAAGTCAGTTTTTGATATTTCTTGATACATTTGGAATACTTTAATCATCAATTGAATTCAGAAAATCCTTTCCTCGTATCCAAGATTTACACCTCTATCACGAATCACCGATTCTGAGCTTATTTACTCTAAGAAGATTCTTTGGCTAGTTGAACAAGAGAAAAAAAATTAAAAGATATAGAAGAAGCAGATAATAAGAAACAAGAGTAATTAAATGACAGGATAAGTCTAAGATGACAAATATACTCTGATACTCCTACCAGTCCCAGAGAAAATCTGAAGGCCATGTTGTAATGTTTCAAGTTTCAAGAATTTACCAGCTAAGAAGGAGATCATTATTTTAAATTAATTGCAATTTTTTAAAAGCAATGTTATCAAATGTAATTTATGAAACTCGATTTTTTAATTAGATACCCGTATCAACAAGGTTTATTTTATCGCATTTCTTAAAGCAAATTAATCTAAGTTGTTATTGAAATTCAGTACAAAGTATTTTTGGTAAACGCTAATACGAATTGTGCACGTATATGGTATGTATAGAACAATATTAAATTATAGGTATACACAAATACATATATGGGTAATTCTGCCATAACTTGCTCCGATCCACTTGAACAATTTTTTAAAAAGAAGTTGGTTAGAAAAATTTTTTTTTCATGGTATTTCTACTGTACATAACATCAGTAAAAAATATCTAAAGCTATGCAACTACCAAATTTGTTGGTCAGAAGTTATACGAAATTTTATAAAAGTCTAATTTCATCTATTTTCAAAAAATTGTATCACTCTCTAGCACGTGTGGCTAAGCTCCTTCAACAGTTAGAATGTTCTTACTGGGCCAAAATGAAAGCTGGGATCAAGACTTATTGATTAAAAAAATTTTGGTTTGGTTTTGTGCCTTCATTCGAAAGTTACAGCTCTTTCAATTAGAGCGTAAATATCGCTAATAATGTGATTTTGGCTAAAATTCAGTATTTTTCATCAAATCACTATAATTTTTTATTCGGGGCATAAAATTCAAAGATTTTTGTTTTAATCATAAGGACTATATTTTTGCTTTCATTTAAGCCCAGATAAAGCCACCTAATGTAATGCACCACTTGACTACCAACGTTGGAAGTAGCACCTAAGTTCTTGCATTTATGTAGCAAAAAAGGGCCAATTGGACGAAACCCCGAGACACGTGTCTCGTCTTTTAGCCCAACAGTGATGAAAAAAAAGTTTGGCTGGAATTGATTGCTCTGAAACGAAAAGAACGGCGCTTTGAGGTGAGGTAGGGTCAGAATAAAAAAGTTTGGAATGGAATTTTCAAAGATTGTAGTGCTCGTACGACTCATATACGTATTACAATGACTTGTCCACCCATAGTTTGTTTACTAGCCTCAAGTGCAATAAGAAACTGTAGTTTACGTACC